ACTGGAAGTGAATGAGTTTGGCAACCCAGAAACTGGACCCACTAAAAGTTTCAACCCCAAAGATCCATTTCTGGTATTGGTGGACAGTGCTTGTAGTAAAAGCGGAGGGGAAAAGCAGCTGCACTGCAGGCCAAGAAACACAGCTAAGCTAGCTTTGTCCGATTACAATTTACAGCTGCCTGCTTTAGTTTGCTGTTTTCACCTGTTATTAATAATGCGTTTTCAGTGATTTGATTTTAGAGCCTCCCAAGCTGCATTTTCTGAATACATGCACATAACATTATGCACATGATGAAATCAATGGCGTGCTCTTTTTGGATAAGAAAGAACTGAAACTCAAAATGTACTGTTAAACAGACAATATGTAAAGCAATTACAGGCCTTGCAGCTCCATATGTGAAAACCCCATTCAAGTACGAGCCTTGTCCCACCCATCCCATACTATTCATGATTTGATCCAATATATATTATACACCACAAGGCTACAAATGCCAACCTGTTAGAAAGCTCTTGGAAATGTCAATGATACTGCATCAGAAATTCATGAATTTCACAACAGCACCATAAACACAAAATTGAATTCTACCTTGATCATGATTAATTATCTGATAGCTGTTGTCACATCTACAGTGCAATTCCACGTTAAGGTTAAGATGTCATGATCACTAATGTTGTTTCAAACTTAAGGATAATTAAGCAGCAAAAAGGAAACTGCAAAAAGCAACCCTTTCTGTTCTGTTGTATAATCCATTTTGCAAGTGTAATTTCACATCAGGTCCAAGTGTACCTCAACAATCACAGTCAGCTCTTGAAAAGGCAGCAGAGATTGCTCAACAGCTTCAACCTCCTAATGTTTCCTAATAAATATATATTTTCTCATTTCTAAATGAACCCACCTAACCCTTTTGATTTCCACTTGGTTTACAACATTCAACTTCAATTACTGCACGGCTGCACCAAGAACAGACTAAAAACACCCGACATTTATGATGTTAAGCCTTTACTTAAATAGGTGGTTATGTGGCACAGATAAGATTTTTAATTAAGGAATTGAATTAGTGGTTAAACTGTTGACGTTTGTCTGAGCCATGGTAACTATCAAATGTTAATTAAAAACACAACAGGCTGAGGTTGTGTAAATTTGCAGTTATATCATCAATTGATTTGAACTAGACATCGAGATGGGACCCAAGCTCATTTAATCTCCTGATGTAATCTTTTTTAAGGAAGAATATAAACAACCCTTGTTTTCTCCATAACGTTTTCCCAGTGTGTGGACTTCCTGTGATAATCTTCTGCTTCTCTTTTCTTCTTTTACTCAAGCTGTTCACGCCATGGCCACGGAGGTAACATTTTCAGCCTTACATTTGGAACTCTTATAACTGAAGGACTTACAATTCTCTAGGATTTCTTAGTGTGTGTTTGTTGTTCCATTGTTTTCTGAATGATGGTCTGGTTTCTTCTCTGTTTCTGGGTTTTCAGTGTTTGAATAGAATTTTATAGGATTTATGAGAATTGAAACTTGCTTTGCCTCTGGCTCTGGTTATGGTCACGCTCATAGTTACCTCATAGTTACCTCAGTTTCACTGCCTCTTTTTAATTTTCAATGTTTAAAACAATTTCTTTTGTTTTGGCTTATGGGGTTCTTAAGGGAGCGGAAATGGAACATGCATGGTTGTAGTATCATATTTTTGGTGTCATGGATGTGTAAGTATTCATCCTTCATCAATGACAAAATCCTTCATGATCACCTTTTGTCTCAGACAGAGGCTGCTTTGATCTGTCACTTCAATATCAGGAAAAGGAGGAAGAAGAAAATTTATTGTGGACAATCTAAGAACTTTGTTTTATTGAAGAAAAAAGTGTTCTTCTCTGGCTCTCAGCTTTTTAGGTCATTATTTAAGACTTTAAGTTGCCACAAATCAATGGCTCCATGACTTAGAATGTTCTTTCTGAAACATAATTGCGATTACATCTGCATCTTTCTTCCTAACATGTAATTTGACAAAATTATTGGCTGTATGTTATGTTGATACTAAGATTTCGTCTAGTTGGAATCTGCAAGATGATTAGTTAGAAATTGTCAAAGAAGCATAGTTTTTAGCAGGGTACCGATTCAAAGTTCAAAGTATTAAGTTAGATGCAAAGTCATTTTTAGGAGAATAAAATATGCATCATTGTCATTCTCTCAGTGTAGAAATGAATTATATAGAAAGACTAGATGTGCATTTTTACAATCATTTCATTACAAATTGGTTGAGCTGCAGACAGAGTGAGCAGGTAGACCTAAACAAGGTCACTTTTACACTTAAATGTCAACGCCCTATGAATTAGCTTTAATATTTTTTAAACCAAGACCTGCATTTTCTGTTGTATTTTTTCCTACTGAGCGCAGATATGTTATAATACTAGTAAGATGTGATTGGCTAAAAAACATTGATGAATTTAAGATTTTATGTGGTGATGTTTGAATTGGTAACTCCCCAGGATCATGAAATGCCCCATGGATGGCCCCTTGGGCTTGAGATCATGAACATGAGACTTAGAGTGGTGGAGAGCTTACCGGCTGCTGTTGTAGGACACCGTCCTTTGCACATACCCTCTGCTAGTTTCACCTCTTTTTCATCCTCCAACCTTGACACTGAGGTAATTTGAACTTTTAACTGACTTGATCTCAAGTGCTTGGTTGCCCACATTGCAAAATTGCTCTCTTCTCATGAAATATGGTATGCATTTGTTATAACTTTTATATAGTTCTGATGTATTGGTGTTGCTGCTATATATTCTGGAATCAGCAGTCCACAGCATCCTTCTTCCAAGACCACAGCATGTCACTAGGCCGACTAATAGGGTTTCGAACAGGGGATAGAGGACGCTTGTACTACCCAAATTCAATTTGCTTCGAAGAAGTACATGACAGGAATTCCATTAAGGGTTCACATTCTGATGTCTCTACGAGGCATCAAGTAGCGTCTCGACGAATTTGCATACCATTGATGCTTGGTGCTCTCGTAAAGATAAGCCGGAATAAGAGTAAGAGCAAGAGCAAGTCAAAGAATGCAGTGTTTGATGGCAAAGGCTAAACCACATCATCTACATTGCCACACAAGGGAAATAAAATTTTCACAACATTGTGTCTAATTTCTTCAGCCATTTTGTGTACTGAGAACTGAGTTGACATGTTGATTTAGAGCATTGCATTTGTTTGTTTCATTAAAAAATTTATTCTAAAACTCTAAGGACTTGATAAAAGTTTGGATGTGATAAAAATTCAAGAGGTCATTGATAGCTTGGTTCAGGACAAGACCCCAGGGTCCCCAGACAGTTCTCCATTGAGTGCTGTGGTATTTATTGGTTACCTTCTTCAAATTGATTATGAAAGAGAAAGGAAAAGGATTGATAGCAATAAGAGCATCTTGTGTGCGAATTGACTAAGCAAGCACCATATTCCAAGAGATGTTAATATCATATAGATCAAAAACAATACAGCCTTAACAAGTAACAAAGAACAAAAATAACATAAAGTTTCCCCATTTCTTCTAATAATTGTGATAGGTGGAGCAGATCATTTGGAAACAAGATTTCCTACTTATGTTTTGTATGTTTTTAGTAATAATGCTACTCTTATCACATTTGTATACCACATTCCTATACCATCTTATGTGGCAGCTGAGGTGGACAGCCACGTCAATTAAAATTATTTAATATTTTCTTTTCTTTTATGATTTATTCCAATATTTGTTTTTCTAATTGTCTTAATTAAAATACACTTTATTAATTTAATTGATGTGGCATATAATATGGACATGCCACATCTTGTGGTATAGAAATACAGGATAAAAATGTGGTAAGTGTAGCATTACTCTTTTAGTAATGATGTTGCCATGTTGGTGTTGGGAAGGAGGGGAATCAAACATGGGATTTCGTACGTCACCGTGAATACTTATGTTTTATAACCATATTCATGTGAAATATATACATGGGTTTGAATAAATTATACTTAAATTTATGAGTATTGCTTGTAGTTGACTTACAAATAACTACAAACCGTTGGATCTTGACTAAACTAATCAATATCCCCCAATCATAGCCGTCTATATATCTCCCAATCATCATATGCCACGTCCCTCATCCATTGGAGTAGACATACACACGCATACATGAGACCGCCACTCTAATGTCCCAAAACCTTCACCCAAGTCCTCGTCAAATCCTAAAACCCCAAAAACCACACCATCAGCCATGGCTTCCTTCGCCGCCAGGTCTGTCCTCCGCTCCACCGCGGCTCGAGCCACCGTCGGCTCGAGGCTCGCTTCGGCCGCCAGACCCAAACCAGCCTCCTCGCCTTTTCGCATCCCCAAACTAAACCAAAGCTCCACCTCTCCTCGCATTTTCAGGTAAAGCAAATGCACATCAAACCCTAAATCTTATTGCTATTTTTGTTTGTTCATATTCATTTTTTTCATTTTCATTAACATGTGTGATATGTTGTGTTGAGCTTGTGAAGGTCGCCTGTGGAGTTGAGCTGCTGTGTGGAGACGATGCTTCCGTACCACACAGCCACTGCCTCTGCATTGCTCACTTCGATGCTCTCTGTCTCTCAGCGCTCCTACGGTTGGACCCCTGAAGGTATTCCCTCTTTTCCTTTTGAGTTATAGCTTCATGTTTCGTGATGGGTATTTGCTGTTTTGAGTTATTTGTGGCATTGCAACTGGAAATTGCTTATCAGCTCATTTACTTGTGGTTGTGTTCAATTTAAGTTCTTTGTGTGTACATTACGAGTTGTGATATCTGGGATGTTGGAGCCAATAGGCAAGCTAATTGTGATAAGCAATGCCAACTTTTGCATTGTAGTTTTTCCGTGAATTGGTCGACGATTGCTAGTTTATGGTCTGAGGTTTGAGCACTGTGGTTACTTTTAATTGCACAGTATTTTCTCTTTCATCCCTGAAGTGAAGTGGGGGGTCCTTTAGTGAATCATGTGCTATTATGTGGACTTTCTTCTTCTTCTTTCTTTTTTTTCTGTTTGTTCTGAACCCAGTAATATGAAGAAGTTAAATTTAGAAATCTATGCCCATAAGAGAATGTTTAAGGAAATGATTGGCTCGCATGGTCAGAATAATTAACTGAATATATGATCTTCTTTGCTGAGGGAATATGATTGGCTCCCATGGTCAGTTTCATGGTATCTAGGAAACCTCTATAAAAGATCTGTTTTTTGGCCGGTCCTTATAAAAGATCTAAAAGCTAAGTTTGGGGTTCCAATGAGGGACCTTCCTAAATTAGAATTATTTAGCATTACTTTGAATCTATGTTTTAATTTGTTCAATTTCAGTTCTTTTCTTTTTTTTTGTACAAGGTGTAGTAAAAAGTGGACAACTTTACATGCAAAGGAAGTATAGTAATTTACCTACATTCCAGATGGCCTAATTGTTCTTTCTAAAAGTTCTTCAATTTTCTTTTTCTTTTTCTTTGTCTGAGGAGGGGGGTGATGTTAGATGATGATGGATGGAAGTGTGGCCATGACATTGAATCAGTGAGCCAATCTTTTTGCCTATTTTCTTCCAAAATCTCTTATTTTCTTTGGGTTATCCCATCTTTCTCTCTATCTATCCCCTGTCTTGCACAATGAAAGAATGCATATGCTTTTTCTTTTGTAGGGCAAGACAAGACTAGATGAGGATCAAGCATCAAATATGGAGTGACTTGGATTTGTTTTTGTTGTCGACTTTTGAAAGTGTTCATTGGACTGTTCTCTTCAGTAGAATAGATGAGAAGACCATCAGTCTACAATTATCTAGCAAAGTGTTGAATTTTATGTGTAAAATTGGGTTTTTCATTCATAGTTGTATTCCTTTGCATAAATGTGCTTTTGTGCAATTCTTTCAACAATGGTGAATTGAATATCTGATGGTTTCTGATATGAACGTTGAAACTTTGAATGGAAATGCAAAAATTTAGTCAACATGAAAATTCTGGCGGAACTGCTTTTCTTTTTTCTTTGTTATTTGTGTCACCATAGTCATACAAGGATAGTTACAATAATAATAATAATCATGATTTGTTGTATTTACTCAGATTGCAATGATGATGTATGATGAATATCAGAGGGTTCGAGCAAAGTTTTATGTACTTGCGCCCTAAGACAAGGTGGTTAAATACAGCTTTTTGGTAGGGTTAATAGATGATTCTTTTTATATAGCTGGACAAGGTGGTGAAAAAAATTAATGTAGTTCTTGATGCAGAAAGGAACTAAAATTATGTCTGGGTGCTTCCTAATGGTCTTTTGGTTTAAAACAATTTGAATCTGTTTGTAGTGTGATGATAATGACAATTATAATGATGATCATGGTTCCTTATAAATTAGTTTAAGGATTGCACTCGTGCACATCTTGTTTCACTTTCAACTAATGACTTCATTCTATTTTCATCTCTGGAGGAAACACTCAATGTTTCTAATCTAGTTTCTTCCTCAGCAAAGATTTGTCTTTAGTGTTGAACCTTCTTTATTTGGATAGAGGATATGGTAGTCTAGTACTTGCACTTCGTGTTCATAGAATAGTTTGGGAAATGCCAAGAAAGCTGTTCTAACTTGATTGAATGAGCAGAAAAGTTAACAAGTGTTGGCATATGATTCTGATGTTGCTAATAACTTGTACCTTTTTGTTTCAAGTTTCTTAGGCAATAGTTGCACAGTTGCACTAGATTCTTATACTTGCTGAAATCAGTTTTAAGGATGATAATAACTTTGCCGCAAATTTCATTCTATCTCGTATCTGTGACTCCGGACCTAGAAGATAAAATGTTATAGTTCCCTTTCTGCCACCCGCTTCCAAATCCCTTGTAAGCTTCTTCTTCTTCTTTTGACGGTGGGTGTTTCTTTGTTTAGGGCTGTGATGATTCCTCATTAGCAGACTTCAGACTTTGGCTTGGAGACTTACCATGTTTCAATTCTGTTTACCTTGCTTATAAAGTTTCAGTTGTGAACGTTGTTGTTATTTACTTAGAAACTAATGTCTAAACTGACTCGTGCTTTTGTCTCATTATGCATTACGTTTTCATCTGAACTGCAAATTATGGTTAAAATGGTTCCAAATTTCTCAGTCTTCATAAAAAGTTTACTTCTTGTTCTTTTATTGTAGATGGATGATTATTATCTGTTGGGATGCGGTGCATTGATCGTAGTTTTCATTGGATTTCAATCGACTTTGTAGGACTTTGCTTGAGGCATGCTTCATCATAGTTGGCTGTGATAATTCACAGAAATGTTTTTGGTTCTACAATCATTTTGAGGAAGTAGATGTCATGATGATTTATATTGTTTTTATATAATTTTCCAATTTCTAAATCCTGATCATGATGAGGTTGAGGTTGAACTTATTGATCCAAGCTATGGATCATCTTCCCTTCTCCTCAATTCTCATGATTCTGAGCCTAATAATTTAATATATCTTTTACTTAATTATTTATTTAATTTTTATATGAAAGAAGTAAATACATCTAGTTGGAAACAGGCCCAGAGTAAGTTGACCAAGTCGACCTGCTTAGACCTTCTTATAGGATGATAAATTTGACTTTATGAAGAGCCAAATTGCTCATCGTCCATGAGCCATGAGGCGTTAAAGATGGCCTGAAAGCCTGTTGAAAGCAGTTTGACTAGAACTATTTCAGTCAAGGCTAAGACTTGAACACTCACAAATCGAAGCACTTTGTTTGATTCTTGAATCCAAAGAGGAAAAGATCCATCATTATTCAGAAAACAAACAAACAAGATGAATGCTATAGCCTTTAGTTCTTACTCTAATGGTATCTATTCAGGCAGAGAAAAATCCCTAAGCAGTTTATATCATTGGCATCTTACACTTAAAAAAATATATAAAAATTCATTGCTGAGACTCGATACTCGAAAAGGAAAAATAAACAAAAGCAAAGTTATATGTATTTATTTATTGAAAAGTTATATGTATAGGGTTTGATGTCGAATAATTCTTTTTTGTCGTCTCATTGGTGGTTTATTATTATTGTCAGCTTCCATTCACGTTCCACCCGAGGAAGAAAAGAAACATGGAAGTTATAAATATATGGTCGAAACTCGAAATGGAAAATTAAAAAAATAATAATAATTTTGGAGAGAAAAGCGGTAGCTTTTTATTGAGGAAAATATGGGTAACTAATACAAAAACTAAGTGTCTTTATATGAATGAGCTCGGTTGTCAATCTAACTGGATAATTTTATCCGCTTAACTGCAAGTGGGAGCAGGAACTTTATCTTTAATAGAGTGTGCCCCAATCCCTCTCAAAACATGCCCCTAAAATTATATGTTACAATCCTCAAATAAAAAATCACAAAAAAAATATGGAGATTCTTCAAAGCAAGTGATGAAGGCACTAATATTAAGAGCAAAACGAGACAATGTGGTGAGGCGAATGTGGGCAAAATTTCCTCCGTGATCTAAGTCCACAAAATTAAAAACTTAAAAACAAAACAAAACAAAAACATAACGCAAATTTAGACCACCAATAAAATACGACGAAAAAACCGACATATCTTTTCGCATTTGCTTTATGTCGACTCCGATGCTCAATGCTGACCACAAATCCTACCATTAAACCTTTTTTAGGGTCCGAAATCCTACAATTAAACCTGAAAACAGAATTTAACCAAAAATTAATTAATGAAATGAATCCTATCCTATATAATATGTCGTCAATCATTTTATTCTTCTCTTACCGCCTTAATTATCCTTATCGTTATTTATGATGCTTCCTCCTCAGCGTCCTCATAGTCATACTCATATTTAAGAAAAAGTCAAATTTCTCCGAAATTTTATTTATTTATGCCTCATTCCACAATATTTTATATTTTACATTTCTATTTCTATTTCTATTTATACATGTCAAATAATCCAGCTTCCTCCTCAAATATCTCTCGGTCTCTCTTTCTCTCTTCATTTTTGAAGAATCAACTTCCATAATATTTCAGAGAAAACAGAAACTGAAAATTAAGCCACACAAATATAAACACCGACTTTGGAGGATAAAGATTAATTTTCTTTGATATATTTTTTTTTTGTGAAAATTAATTTGTTGAGAAATCAATCAATCAGAGAGAGAGCTTGACGCCTGAGCGAATCGGATCGAATCGTATCTTTCTTCTTCTTCGATGGACTCTGAGTTCTGGACCTCCCGCCTCGCCGCCGCCAAGCGCCAGTACACGTTGCAGCACCATCACCAGAGCTCCCACTTTGGTCCGTACCCCCTCTTGCTCTGTTTTTTTGTTCATTTCTCATTTCATCTCTGTTCATCAATTATTGAATCCGATATATCATTTCTCCTTTTTCTTATTCTGTACAATAATAATAATAATAATAATAATAATAATAATAATAATAATATAAAAAAAAGATCGGTTAAGCATCGATGATTTCGAGGTTGAAGACGAGGTCCGACCCGACTTCCCGTGCCCGTATTGTTACGAGGACTTCGACATCGCGTCCTTGTGCTCGCACCTCGAAGACGTTCTGGACCTCCCGCCTCGCCGCCGCCAAGCGCCAGTACACGTTGCAGCACCATCACCAGAGCTCCCACTTTGGTCCGTACCCCCTCTTGCTCTGTTTTTTTGTTCATTTCTCATTTCATCTCTGTTCATCAATTATTGAATCCGATATATCATTTCTCCTTTTTCTTATTCTGTACAATAATAATAATAATAATAATAATAATAATAATAATAATAATATAAAAAAAAGATCAATTAAGCATCGATGATTTCGAGGTTGAAGACGAGGTCCGACCCGACTTCCCGTGCCCGTATTGTTACGAGGACTTCGACATCGCGTCCTTGTGCTCGCACCTCGAAGACGAGCACTCGTGCGAATCTAAAGTCACCGTATGTGCTTATTTATCTCTTTTTTTTTTCTTTTTTTTTATATGCATAATATTTGTTACATAAATAAAGTTGTTGATTTGGTTCCTGGAAGAAGAAAAAGCTATGATTTTTGTTTTTGGTGTTGGTCAAATGTTATTGCCTAATCTGGAAATCTGCGATTGATATTTTGATTTTATCAAAGGCGTATAACTATAACTGCTATCTTGTCATTGCTTTCTTCTTTTGAGCATGCAGTCCTGTATTGGTTTAAAAATAAAATCGTAGTTTTTTCCTCTTATAGAAAGAAAGAGAAAAAAGACGGGTAGGAATGCGCCCAAGTATCTTTCTTTTTTCCTGAAATATTTGAAATGGTTCATATGTTAGTGAAATGATTTAATTTTGTTGTTTTTTCCGTTTGGTTTTTTGGATAAGGAAGGGAGGAATTAATACAAAGGAATTTCCAGGAATTGCCCATATGATGCATGTTTAAGCTAAGGATAGATTTAGATGGTTAATATGTGACATAATGATGATTTTTTTGTTAGAAAACGTATAAGAGGGCTTAAGTAGTTATTTTCATACACAAAACCTCAACACAAGCTGGGAAATGTCTCTTGGCATTTTCTAGAATGATCGATCTTTGACCCATTTAACAAGTTATTTCTATGATGACTTGGAATATGACTCTTCATCATGGTATCTTCTGTTCTTTATATAGAACACTTCCAATTCTCGCCCTTCGTCTTTCATGATATGTCCGCTTATATAGAACGCCTCCAATTCTCACCCTTCTGTTCAACTCTAAGCCACATTAAGCTTCTTTTTTATTTGAGCGATGAAATGGTGTGATTGTTACTTCTATTCTTTTGGTTTTCTTCTTCTGTACTTCCACCATTATCCTTGCAATGATAAAACTTTGTAGTAACTAAACAAAAAGTAATCAACTTTCCTTCATTTTGTGCTAGTTACTTTTACCCTTAATTTCTGATTGATGCTTCATGCAAAAAAAATTACTCTCTTTTGTAGGTTTGTCCCATTTGCTCTGTTAAAGTTGCACGGGACATGTTAAGTCATATCACACTGCAACATGGACATTTGTTCAAGATATCCTTTAAATTGGAATTTTATCAAATTGGATTCCTGATAATGTATCCGTGAACAAAGTTTGATTGTTGTCTTTTGTACTTTCCTTAACTGAATATCACTTGCAGAGACGTCGCAGGTTACGTAGAGTTGCTATTCCTAACAGTCAGGCACTGTCCCTCCTTGGCCGGGATCTTCGTGAGGCTCATCTTCAGGTGCTTCTAGGGAGTGGTGGATATCGATCAGACAATGCTAATGTGTCTAATGCCGCTACCGATCCGTTCCTGTCATCACTTATTTTGAATTTCCCTGCATCAGGAGCAGATGAAATTTCAAAATCTGTGGTAACCACTGCTGAGGACATTTCTGCAAAGAATGTGGCGCCAGCACATATATGGAAATCAAGGTACTGTTTCATATTAGAAACTGTGCTTTCATTGACTTTTTCAGCCCTTTCTATAGCCTATTAATTGTTCAATTATATGCATCACATAATTGTCACCATCACTCAATATTTTGAATGGTGGTTATTACCTTGTTACCTCATTCCCGTGTATTGAGGAAGTACTTGTTTCAACTTATCTCTCTTTACTTTCTAAAATTTGTTGTGCGTGTTCTTGGTGCATCAAAAGTATGGTAGATAAAATCATCAACCTTGGTCATACAGAATGGAGTATACACTGGCAAACTTTTGTTTGGATCGGTGTGGTCAGACCTCTCCAAGGTATAACTATTAGTAGCCAAGGTGGTGCCAAGTCAATGCTTGAATTGGTGTCAATTTATTTTCCTAGACAATACTTAGTTTTTATTAAGCATCCAGTATTTCCTAGACCATAGAAGTAATAATCTGACCCCAAAACAAAGTACCGTTAATGTTGAAGAAGCTGATGCCCCATCTTTAAGGTTAATACATGCCCAAGCGCCTCTAAAGCTGTTCTTTGAATCTGAAATATGGCTCTCTGTCTCTCTCTCTCTCTCTCCGTCTCTCTCCGTCTATCTCTCTTTTGCAGTTTTGATCCTTCATTGAGTTATGAAGAGAGGGAGAAAAGGATTCGACAAGCTACTGGAAGAGCTGGTTTTATGCAAGATCTGTTTCTCTCGACACTGTTAGGTGACTAATGGAGACAGTAAGTTTGTTTCAATAAAAATAAAAATGAGTTATTCAAAATCTTATGATTGGGGTTCTTGTTGGGTGGGATTCTAATGGTTTTGCATTCTAAAACAACCCAATACAATACCTGCCTCATATGAGTATTTCAGCAGCAGCAGTATGAGTGCTTGATTAAAATAACCTGTCTTCTACCAAGCACCTTTCCTTCAGATTCAGAATGTAATGCAGTCTGAAGAAACATTGATTTCTTTAGTTTATGGAGAACCTTAATTTTATGATAGTTAGCGTGTACATGATAAACAAACGGGTGAATGTGCCAGTTTCCAGCATAGCAAAAGTCTCAATTGGTTCCAGTTGAAGCAGATGAATTGAATTCTGATGATCAAAGGAAACTTTTATAATTTGAACAAAATGTTGTTTCTGCATGGACTAAGTTGTTGAATTTATTTACCTAAATTGAAATTAAAGAGGACCCCCCAAAAAAAAATATTAATATTGAAGAACCATTGTTATTCCTATGGAAGTTATCTTGTATCTCTAAACGACCAAATTGAAAGATTTAGACCACAATCGTTTCGTTTGTGCAAGTCGATCAAAATCATTAAGCATTGAAACATTCAGAATTTGGTATTCCGATATGCTTTTTCCTATTTGCGACTGAAATTTTCTAGAGAGAGATAGTAGTCGCCTTCCATTTGCACTCTCTCGCATTCCTTTACACAAGTGCAATAATAACATTGTTGCAATGATCGTATGATGTAACAATTGAACGGTTTAGATCATAGGATGATATTGTGAAAAAAGTACGCATGAGTGGCCAATGGCAATATCCCATGGACGATGAATATCCCGATTGAATTAATTAAGGCTTTAAGTAGAGTTCTTCTCCACATACTTGCCATGCTTAATACCGTTATATGATTTTATCAATCTAAGTAGTACGAAATGAGTAGATGACACGGTTCATATTTGTTATCAATCTAAGTAGCATGAAATGAGTAATCTAAGTAGTACGAAATGAGTAGATGACATTTCATGCACATGGAATATATTGTTAATAAGATAAATAAAATAACAATCAATGATATATCATACGTCGGCACTCCATTATGTTTTTATTGCGCAGTTGACTGTTTGGTTGGTTCTTTTAAATAAATAAAAAACAAGAAACTGGCTGTTCTGTTGGTGTGGAAAAATCCAGCTACGTCTAATAAGAAGGACGTTGATATATATATACTGTCTCTGTCTCTGTATTAAGTCCAATAGAGAATAGACAATAGTGGTAAAGGATAGAGAAGAAGAAGATCCGTATACAGATGATGGTGGAGCTATTTGTGTTGGGGTGCACGGGAGTTGTGGTGTTCCTTCACGGCGCCAGTTTCTTCTTCCACCTCCTTACCCAACACTTTGCTCTTCGATCTCTCAGGTAATCAAATAACTAATCATCTCTCGCTCTCTCTCTCTCTCTCTCTCTCTCTCTCTCTCCTTCTCCCCTCTTCTCCCCCAATTGTTAATCTCCTAACTGTAAAACTGTCTGAATTGTTTTGTTTGGTTTCATCAGTTTTCTGGGATTTGTTGGGTGGTAGAAGCAAACAAAAGTATTAAGAGCTGCCAGAGATGATAGATTGGTCGCCGCCCCGCATGTTGTTTTGTTTATGAAGTGTAGGAGGACACCCCAATATTCCCAAGCAGTGGTTAATTATCTTTTAGTTTAGTTTAATTAGCATATGATGATATGATCATCTTGTAATTAATGCCAAATGATAATAAAGCTCAAGAAAGGTAAAGCCTTTTCATTGAGTGCTAGCTTCTGAGCTAAACCATCTTGTCAATTTTGATATCCTTCTAAGCTAATACAAGTTGCAACACACACTAACACAGGTTGCTTCCAATTTTGATATAACATGTGTTGCCAAATTTGTAATTTGCACCTTAATCAACTGTCAACAGGATATATAAATGGTCTTTTTCGCCCAACCCCTCAAGAAATTAACTTCGTTAATATTTGGTAGACTTTCAAGATCATATTGTTGTCATGGATAAAATTAATTATGTGAGTTTATCCAAACCCGCATGTTTGAAAAACACTGTGCAAGCAATTTCATCAACGACCAAAAGCATTGACTAATGGTTAACCTGCTAAACAAGATATCAGACTTCAAGAAACCTCTTCATGAAATCCACCAAAAAGAAGAGTTACTCGAGCCAACGAAGGTCTAGTTCAATGAAGAAAAAAACTTTAGGCCAACCTTCTCAAATTTGAACCCCATAAATTACAATGAACTCAAGGGCTTAATGCAATTCAAGTAAGGGGATGTAGATTTTGGGGAAACATGTTGGCATGCAATTCAGGTAATGTAATTACAAAGAACCCCATAATTCTTACTCTCTTTTTTTCCAAACTCTTGCATTAGGTGAGACCATGCAAGATCCATCACATGTGGGCTTGTTGAGAAAAGTATTGAAAAATATTACAATATTTAAAATATTTTTTTGTTATTTAAAAGATTATTGTAGAACCTTCCAAGAATTTCTGTGTTACTCAAGCACCATCTTATATTCCAAAAAGGCATGCTTTCTTTTTTCGTGATTACAATTTGTAATAAAAAAAATTTATTAAACGTCGTACCCAAACAAAAGGTATTGAACGAGAAACATCTATTTTTTTATGCATAATTGATTTCGCCATAAAACGTTTTACTGCGTGACGTTACCAGGCGTTGAACGGTTAGTCAATGATCAAATGGACCATGAAGCTTTGCTTCATCCATTCCCTCCAAAACCCTCTTCCCCAACGACTTTACCTGCCATTTAAACCCAAAACCCTCCCAACCCATTTTCCAGATTCTGCCAAACGTATCCAAACCTCAGCTCAAGTCACCACAGACGCTCAAACTACCCCTGTTCTAAGCTCAGTCCAAAAGGGCAATTTCTCACCCACTTCCATATCCTACTCTAAGCTTTTGTCACAATGCGCTGCTTCCAAGTCTGTTGGTGTGGGCATGGAAGTCCATGCCCACATAATTAGATGTGGATGTTCCGGAGACCAAAGTCTTCGGAACCATTTGATCAATTTGTACTCCAAGTGCCGGTTTTTCAGGCACGCCCGGAAACTGGTTGATGAAAGTACTGAACCGGATTTGGTTTCTTGGTCTGCTTTGATATCAGGGTATGCCCAAAATGGGCTTGGTAAAGAAGCCCTTTCAGCCTTTCGTGAAATGCACTCGTTGGGGGTTAAGTGTAACGAGTTTACATTTCCCAGTGTTCTTAAGGCGTGCTCTATTACTAGAGATTCGGTGCTGGGAAAGCAGGTTCATGGGATTGCGCTGCTTACGGGATTTGAGTCCGATGAGTTTGTTGCTAATACTTTGGTTGTTATGTATGCAAAGTGTGGGGAGTTTGGGGATTCTAGGAGATTGTTTGATGCAATTCCAGAACGGAATGTCGTTTCGTGGAATGCATTGTTTTCTTGTTATGTGCAGAGTGATTCCTATGGAGAAGCAATGGATTTATTTCAGGAAATGATTCTGAGTGGCGTAAGACCTAATGAGTATAGTCTTTCTAGTATAATAAATGCATGTACCGGATTGGGGGATGGTAGTCGAGGAAGGAAAATTCATGGATATATGGTTAAGCTTGGATATGAGTCCGACTCGTTCTCAGCAAATGCACTTGTTGACATGTATGCAAAAGTCAAAGGTCTTGAAGATGCGATTTCAGTTTTTGAGAAAATTGCACAACCCGATATTGTTTCCTGGAATGCTGTTATTGCTGGGTGTGTTCTTCACGAGTACCATGATTGGGCTCTACAATTTTTTGGACAAATGAACGGATCAGGAATCTGTCCAAATATGTTTACATTATCAAGTGCACTTAAAGCTTGTGCCGGATTGGGGTTTGAGAAATTGGGTAGACAGTTGCACTCTTTCTTGCTAAAGATGGATACAGAATCAGATTCATTTGTCAATGTGGGACTGATAGATATGTATTGCAAGTGTGAGATGATAGATGATGCAAGGGTGCTTTTTAATATGATGCCAAAGAAGGAGATGATCGCATGGAATGCTGTGATCTCTGGACATTCGCAGAATGGGGAAGATATAGAAGCTGTATCCCTATTTTCTGAAATGTACAAGGAGGGAATAGAATTCAACCAGACTACCTTATCCACAGTTCTCAAATCCACAGCAAGCGTGCAGGCCATAAAGTTTTGTGAACAAATTCATGCACTTTCTGTCAAATCAGGTTTTCAGTCTGACATGTATGTTATAAATAGCCTTCTTGATACATATGGAAAATGTGGCAAAGTAGAGCACGCGGCAAAAATTTTTGAAGGATGCTCAACTGAGGATGTGGTGGCTTTCACATCCATGATCACAGCCTATTCTCAATATGAACAAGGCGAAGAAGCTCTAAAACTCTATTTGCAAATGCAACGGAGAGGGAACAAACCTGATTCATTTGTATGCAGCTCTCTTTTGAATGCTTGTGCAAGTTTATCCGCATATGAGCAAGGGAAACAGATCCACGTTCACATTCTGAAGTTTGGATTCATGTCCGATGCTTTTGCCGGGAATTCTCTTGTTAATATGTATGCAAAATGTGGAAGCATAGATGATGCGGATCGTGCTTTCTCTGAGGTACCTCAGAGAGGAATAGTTTCCTGGTCTGCAATGATTGGAGGACTTGCTCAACACGGGCATGGAAAACGGGCTCTCAACTTATTCAATCAGATGCTCAAATATGGTGTTTCCCCCAATCATATTACTTTAGTCAGTGTTCTCTGTGCATGCAATCATGCAGGTTTGGTAACTGAAGCCAGAAAGTACTTTGAATCCATGAAAGAATTGTTTGGAGTTGTGCCAAGGCAAGAGCATTATGCTTGCATGATTGATCTCCTTGGCAGAGCAGGGAAGATAAATGAGGCAATGGAGCTTGTCAACACGATGCCATTTCAGGCGAACGCCTCTGTTTGGGGGGCACTTCTTGGTGCTGCGAGAATCCATAAAAATGTTGAGCTTGGCCAGCGTGCCGCTGAAATGCTCTTAGCTCTTGAGCCCGAAAAATCTGGTACCCATGTACTTCTTGCAAATATTTACGCATCAGCTGGCATGTGGGATAATGTAGCGAAAATGAGAAGACTTATGAGAGATGGCCAGGTAAAGAAGGAACCGGGGATGAGTTGGATTGAGGTCAAAGACCAGGTACATACCTTTATAGTAGGAGATAGAAGTCATTCAAGAAGCAGGGAAATATATGCTAAACTTGATGAGCTGTTTGACCTTATGTATAAAGCTGGCTATGCTCCAATGGTGGAGATTGACCTCCATGATGTGGAACAAAGTGAAAAGCAGCGGCTCCTACGTTACCACAGTGAGAAGCTTGCAGTGGCTTTCGGGTTAATTGCCACTCCACCAGGGGCACCCATTAGGGTGAAGAAGAATCTTCGAGTATGTGTGGACTGTCACACAGCATTCAAGTTCATCTGCAAAATCGTCTCAAGGGAGATTATCGTGAGGGACATCAATAGGTTCCATCATTTCAAAGATGGTTCATGCTCTTGTGGGGAATACTGGTGATTTTACCGGGGAAGTGTTAAAGTTGGTAGGCACGGGCCTATAAAAGAGGCTATACTTTCTGCCCTACTAACTCAAACCAAAATTTTGTGTGCCATTTTTATGTACTAAAGTGTCATTTGTTATAAATGAAGAGTTGTTTTTCTTTTGAGATGAGGAGTTTGTTCTTAACAGCTTGAAAGCTAATAAGCTCCCATCATATAAAAACATTCAAAGTCTCTCACACACCCATAAGGCTCATCAAGAAGAGGCTCTGCCACCCAAAAAACTCACATATAGAGGAAAATAGGTGTTTAATTCCTCGAAAAAATCAACATTTCCAACTCAGGATGGCTTTGGGCCATATACAATCAGTTTAACCCGATTTTAAGAATGGATAATGTACATGGTAAGATAACATTTACAACAAAACAACGTTGTGTTTCTTTCCTATTTGATTTCTTACATCAACATCATAGAATCCTCTGACATTATTGTCAACAATGAATACTTCACTTTGACTGAGATTCGGCCACCCTCTACACAAAGCTTGGCTCCAGTTACCACCCAATAACCTGGCGAGTCCTCAGGACCTCTCAACATTTCCTTGGTATCTACAAACGTCGCCATTTTTGGTGCCTTCGTCGGTAAAGGTGGTCCACCAGGGTAAATTGCTGAATTCAAATCCACTTTTTTTGGCGGCACAGGTTGATTCAATGCAGTACTAAACCTTGTGCTGATCAAGGTTGAGATGAATCCTGATTTTCGAGAAGAGCTTGAGGGTCCTTCCCACTCTGATCTACGGATTCTTGCAGATGCCACTGTTGAAAATCCAAGCCTCAGGAATAAAACTTTCCTCATTCCAACAGCCTTGGCTTCAAACCAGGCCTTCGTCACAATTGAAGCAGAGTCATCAATGCAGGCACCATTGTACTGTACTGGGGCCGTGCATACATGTGAAAATATGCTCCACTTAACAGGTTCAAAGTAGCCTCGTTCCTCTGGCTCGTCAATGGGCTCATAACTGTGATCATCTGAGAGTTGGAGGGTATCCGGAACTGTTGAAAGATGCTGGAGATGCATTGCCAGATGGTCACTTTTCTTACCTTCAAGATACAAACGCATTCCTGTCACCGGTCGATTTCCAGTATCAACCTGAAAATTGTAAAATTAGGTACCACAAAGTAAAGAGAAACTAATGTATGTAATGATATGCCCGAGTACTGTGATCAAAGACATTTAGTGTTTTAAGAGGACGTATAAATTTTATAAAGGCAAATAAATAGGTGCACAATACTCGTTGACACAACTTTCTCCAGTTATAAATTTTTTCTAAAGAACTTCATTGCATACTAAAATACATATATATATAATGGAAGTCCTCCAAGGAAGAGGGATCTCCAGCATTCTATAAGCAATTACTGTGTCAATATTTTACATCACAAGATATTACCTTCATAGTGTTAACATATAGCTTGGGGCCCATAAAAGTGAACTGGAGTGACGGGGACACATGTTTTCTGCGCCTGAGACCAAGAGGCAGATCACCATACACTGGAGCCCATTGACGTGGTAATTGAAATTCTAAAAATTGATGGAGTTCCTCTATTGGCGGTTTGTCTGCAATATTTATCACAGAAATATGAGATTATTCAAACTTTTTTATGGAAAAGTAATGTAGCTAACTTGGACAAAAAGTTGCATACTGACATCTAAGGTAGAGGTTCACTGCATGGCTTAGAAATCCATTTCCTTGGACGCCACCCAAAAGTGAAGTTATGGGGACAAAGGACATCGATATGACATTAGGAGACTCTGATACAGTTGAAAGCCACTTGTTATGACTTTGACCAACATCAACACCTCCCCTTCGAACACAAATGGTCACTGTACCCTGCATTAGATGGGAAAATATAGATATCTCAATCCATTCAATGTAGGTTGATTGTTTCACACGGACAGAAAATAGCTTACATCATTCCTTGGAGTGATGATAGGTGGCCTTATTGTTCTCTGAACACTCCGGGGCATAGAATGGTCATCCTGAAACAATGGACATAGACATTAAAGTAAGAATAAGTTAAATCGTCAACTTCCACAACTTCCATTACATACTACGTGTATCAAGATAAAACAGAGCCCATGACTCCAAGAAACAGAGGAAATGTCAATTGTCGATATCGGCAGTTCTGCAAATGGCTGTAATTAAGGACCTTCTCTTATTTTATGGACTTTTCTTAATCAGAAAACTTCCCGTTTCCAGTCATTTTGTTGAGTTCTCTCCTTCATTCTCACAAGTCATAACACCACAGTAATGTACTTTACAGTTCACATATTCAATAATAAGACCAATGTGAGCAGTAGATAATCACGATGCAATCATAAAATCCTGCTTACCTTCATTTTTCCTGATAAATCATCAGAGTTCGATCCAGTTACATCTTCATAAAATCTCTCATCAGCTAACTGCTTCAACAAATTCTGCACTTCAGTGGGTTGAAGAGTTGAATTTTGTGACTGCTTTATGTGAACTATATCCTTTCCACCCATCCTCACCCCAACAACAATATGAGTACCATATTTTTCAATGAACCTGAAAATCAAATTACTTAAAACATCAGTGCAAATTGGCACAAGACTGTGGTATATACCTCAGTGCAAACGATATACATTCTGAACTTACTTGTTCATAATATTGTAAGTACCTATATCTACACTTGGCTTATTTCAAAAAACTTGAATCGCATTACATAAGCTTCTTTGTAATTTATATTAGGTTTATCTGTGCTTGTTTGCAGAACGTGTATCCAGTTTCAAGCGTCTACTCTGCAGAACTTTCGTGTGCATTTAACAATGAAAAGCAAACATTGAAGAACATTCAGTTGTCTTCCAAACTTAAAAAACACTCTTCTTTTACCTTTCTTTTTTTTCCTTTCAGACTATATAGAGATTGAGGGGCTTTACATTAATAAGCTCAGCTGAAACCACAATTAACGGCATAAAAAAGTTTTTCGATTAAAGAAATCTTACGCAGCAAGGGCAGCAGGTTCCCATGTAGAAGGCACTTCTCGTCTCACATTCTGGGATAGTGTTATATGGGATCTTGCTAACTCAATGTTATACAACGTTATTAACCAACCATCAAAAGCAAGAGTTTTTGTGGAAGCTGCATCCTTCTGCCAGCAGCCGCTGAAGTTAAACATAGTATTAAACAAGCCGGACGGAATTTTGCCTGATAAAGATAGCTCCTTATTGTATTGCTCTGACATCTGGAATACAACCAATGTAGACAAAGTAAGAAGAAAAGAGAGCCTCCTTATAACCAACATAGGCCAATTGTTCCACTTTAGTAATGAGTAAGAAGACTAGAATTCTCAGATGGATCAAAAAAGAGCAATGGAGAAATACTTGTGCCCAAAGCTCGAGCTTAGTAGTAGCAGAGTCATATTTTTTTAACAATTAAAAAGAAACTGAAGTTTCAAATTTGTGTTCTGTGTTAGTGCCAAATGAAATTATTTAGGCATGAGCCATTCACCATCACTCAATCAAGAGAAGAGCTCAATTTCTGCCGCTATCAATAGAATGTCACAAATTCAGCACGTTTCATCCAGAATTTCCCAGCACCGTAATCAAAACAGCCATAAATAGTAACCGTAACCAAAACCCACTTCACCAAATGTGACCAAAATATTCCCCAAATTCATTCCCCACCAACCAGTCGCAAAACCAACCACAATCAAAACCCAGAAACCACTTCGCGCCAAAAGCAAAAATTAACGAACTTTCCTTCTTAAGAAAGAGAAAAAACCTGATTAAAAGAGACGACGTCGGAGCGAAACCTGGTGCGCTCGCCTTTATCGCACTTGATGGAGGTGGACACGTCGGGCACGACAGCCCCGCCCGGCACCACGAGGTCCCGGGTCCGGGTCGGGTCGAGCTCGATGAGCATGGACTTGCATGCGGTCAACCGGATATCGTTGCGGAGATCGTACCCGGACCCGATTACGGAGACGGCCTTGTGGGCTGCATACTGGGGGTCGGAGCGAAACGCATTGAGAGCCATTGAGTTCGAAACCAATTGGACGGCGAATAAGTAGCAAGAGAGAGCTCGCGAGGCTTGTGAGTGCTTATGGGGTCTGGTTGATTTAGGCGAAGACCCATTGAAGTGGGTTTTGGGTCTCTGGTTTTGAGCTTTCAACGATGCGTTGAGACCGGGACAAAGCTGTTTTCTTTGATTTTCTTTTTTAATTAAAAGAATTTAATTTTAAAAAACAGTTTGAATATTGTTTTGGTTTTAATGCATTTGCTGAAAGCGACTTCCTGCTACAATGGGTTTTGTTTTGTTTGTTTGAAGCCTCCTGCGGAGCGACTTCAACGGAAGTCTAAAAGCCTAAGTGGGAACGTAGACTTCCAAAGCCAGGAGGAGGCGGCTGGGGGCCGCCCTTCTTTTCCCGCCACGTGCCAGCGCGTTATTATTTTTGTGTTCTTTTTCGCACATTTCTTTTTGACCCTTGTTTTCTTCGGTGCTTCCTTCCTATGCGTATTAAGTTATTTATTTACTATCTTTCTTCTTTCATATGGGGCTGGACTTGACTTGAACGCTTGCTATGAGCGTGGAGGCGAGAGTAGCCAAGGGCCCAACCAGTCCTCCTTATGAGTTTCGTGGATGTTTACAGGACAAGGTCTTAAATATCGATAGTTTCGGAAATATCGGTAGTTTAAAAATACAGAAACATCGATAGAAATATCGGGAAAATATTGATATCGATAAAAATTGGATAAAAACAACGTAAATTGTGATACATACATTGAAATTTTTAATGAAACTTTAGAAGAAGTTTATTTAGTCAATCATCTATTATTTTGACACAAAAATTTGGAAGGAAATGCATTGCATAGTGGGTTTGAGTAATTTCAGTTGATTATATTGCGAGCTGACAAACTCTGTGACTTAGAAAATATAGAGTAATTAATGAAGAGAATTAAACACCCCATAGTAATTTATTTATCATTTTTTAGTATAATATTTTACACTTTATAAATTGCATAGTAAAATACATGTGTAACCTTATTTCATATTATTCATTGGACATGGTACACGTTCTTATATTTATTATTTATCAAAAATTGAAAAATAATTAAACCAACTTGACTTTTCATGAAAATTAGGCA